GTCTTTATCATAGTTTTTCTGCAGCTAATAACAGATAACAGCTTTTATTATGAGAGCTCAGCATTGGTTTGATATTAACGGGTGCTGAGACCCCGGTAACGCCCGGCAGAGACAACTATCTTTCAGGAGATATAAACACATGTTAGTGAGCGGCAGCAGCAGACAGGCTCTGTGAGTCAGATCTGAGGCGTCTGAACCTGGCTCTCACAAACAGATCTGTTTATCGTAGACACAGGAAAACAAGGCTTTGCTCAAAAGGCTTCAGGGCAGAACTGGAAGTACAACTGCACCATGTACAGAGAGAAATACACAGCAAGGTCAAACAACCTGACTTTTTAAAGTATATCCCTAAGTCAGTACATTAAAGGTAGGGTATGTAATTCACTTCAGAAACACTTTTTGTTATATTCCATGGAATGCTCTTAACATCCCGATAGCAATGAATATATGAAATGCTTTGACAATAAATACATAAAAAATTCATCTGTGGAAAGCCGTGGCGCTGTAAAAAGCACGACCAATCATTTTAGGCCGGCCCGGCTAAAATAACTGGATGCCTACCTGCCTGTCAGCCTTCCATCTGTGCACAAACTTATCTCGTTGCCCTCATTGGTCATGTGTGCGTTTGTGTGTGTTGGAGGAGGGGCTCTGTGAGGAGTCTGAAGGAAGGGGCAGATTTTTTTTCGGCTGTGTACTTTCAAATTCTAGCGCACTCGAGCTGGTTTCTCCATTCTACCCCACCTTTAAACCAAGTGAGGTACTTTAGTGCAATTTGGTGGTACTTTATTAAAGTATTTCCATTTACTTAGATGTAGTTTTCAGATATAATAATAATAATATACATGCTCTTTATATAGCGCTTTTCCTGGTGCTCAAAGTGCTTAAAAACAGATGAAGATGTTGCATTCAAAACACAATGCCTCTCTCACTTATGGAGGACAGTTTTCTGCAGAATCAGAACTTTTACTTTTCTGCTCTTATCCGAGTACTTCCCCCGCCTCTTTATTTATAGTCGTGTGACCGCCTCAAGTTACAAAGACAAACACTGAGTCCAGTCTTGTGGAATTGGAGATCAGAAGCTTTGTGCACGTACATATTAATCTGAGCAACTACAACCTTTATTACTTCACAACAGTCACTTACAGTAAGTGCTATCAACCATGAAGATAACAAACAGAGGAGCAGCAATCCTGCAGGTTCACTAAGTTCAAGCAACCATTTAAAGTGCATTGGTTTAAAAGGCACAAAAATGCTACATACAGGTTAACATTTGTATTTTACTGGTGCATTTAAAACACATGTGTTCTTCTCACTCAGTCTGCAACAGATTGTGTTGACTGTCTGCAGCTTTAAAAGGGTTTCATTTCAGTGTTTGAATAACAAAAACAGATGTAAATGACTTCCTTTTAAAACTGTGAAGAAATACTTGTGTTTTGCTCAAGACATCTGCTAAATGTATGACTAGTGTAATGTAGACATCGGTGTTTGCCAGAATAAAGGAACAACTGACAATAAAAGAGGGTGGAAAATAACTTTTGACAGCACACAAAGAGGGCTGGAAGTTGTTAGTGTGCAGATATGAATTATGTCAAAAGACCCACCCCTGTTTGACAGCATGTTCCCTTAATAGACACAAAGTGATGGGTCGACTTGACATCAGACAGTCAGTACAGACCATAGACTGTATATATAAAGGGTACAGACAGATGTACACCATCCACTCTCCATAAATCACTGTGGCATGTTCTGTTATGAAGGCGGTGTTATTTCAGCAGCTAGACACAATGTTCTTTAAAGTCTGAGACGCTGCGTTCAAGTGCTCAGTGGAACATAGGTCAAATAGCGGTCAGGGCTAACGTGCCGCTTTACGTTATTAAACATTAGATTATAATCGAACATCTTAACAGTGATAGTATGAGTGGATACAACTAGATACACTTTGTAACATCGTGTGAGTATAGTGAGTGATATTAATGACATTATACAGGCTTTTTTTAATTATTTTTGTAATGTTATTATAGTTTTCTTAAAATAGTTCTCTATCTGTGTTTTTAATTTGTGTTTTACTTTTATGTATGCACCATGACACGAAGTCAAATTCTTCTTACGTGTCAACCTACCTGGTAATAACCTGTTTTTCTGATTCTGATCTGAACATCTTAATCCGAGTAACGTTAGAAGGAAGCATCCCATTTACTTGACTTTTCCAGTGTCAGTGAACGCAGCTGAGTCGTAGCTAACGGCTGCAATAAAGCTACAGTTAGCTTTGAACTCCCCTCGTCGTTGTCACAGTTTGTAATACTAAATACCCTTAAAGTCTTAATGTTACCTTCTCCGCGGACACGTCAATGGCGACTGGTTGTAGAACGAGGTGACGGTCTTGGATCTTTCCCTCGCCATCTTCCGAGTAACCCTGCATGGAGGACGTGGATCGGAACCTCAGCGGCACTGTTGTGATAATCGGGGCCGAAAACAGGGTGCCTAACCTCGGCCTGGCTCGGCAGGAAGCACCGCTGAGCACCTCCACGGCGAGACCCGCGAAACCCATCGTTTCTCCGGACAGAAGAGTGTGTGTGTGTGTGGTATTAAAGGTGTAAATGTTAGGAGGCCATCAGGGGTCGCGTCGTATGGGTGCACAAAGGCACGAATACAGTAGAGAGAGGGTACAGAAAGGGCTTTGTGCTCATTGGCCAGTAGCGGAGAGATACGGGGTGACGTAATGAGGCGTTGTCCAATGAGAGAGGAGAGGAGAGGAGAGAAGGCGGGGCTTAGGTGTAGTGTTAACCCCGCCTCCTCCATGCACTACTGTACTACTGTAACTATTATAATAGAATATTAAAATATAGTAATATTTACATGACATAAAGATGAAATATAGATATAGTCGTAGAAACATATAATTCATTAATAAAAGTACCAAGTGCAGTTAAAAAAATGTATTAAAAAATAATTTAGTAAAAGTTATCTACAGTATTATACCATTAAAATAAAGCAATATTTACATGAAATAAAGATTAAATAAAGATATAACCATAGAGAAAAAAATGTATTAACAAATAATTTAGATAAAAAAGTATTTTCACTCCAAAACCACACACACAACAATGAAAGAAGTTTTAAAAAATGCAGTTTATTTTTATCAAAATATTTGTACAACTTATGTGCGAGATGTTGGGTTACGTCATGATGGGTTGTCCAATGAGAGGAGAAGAGGCGGGTCTTAGCTGCAGGGTTAACCCCGCCCCATCCATGCTCTACTATACTGTACACTGCAGGTAAACAAGTGTTACACCTGTGACTTCAGAGCCTTTATTTAATTAGAAGTACTTATACCACACTGTATACATACTGAGTTACAAGTACAAGCAATGCAGGGGAAAGTACAATTAAAAAAATATACTGTATAAAAGCCAATACAGTAAGAAAGTACCCAAAATGTATTCAAAATAAATTAGAAAAAAAGTGTATGAGTTTTTTGTGCAAAGAATCTTAACATCTTTTAATCGTAAATATTATTCTGAAATAGGCCACTATGGGAATGAGTGATTGTACTTTCTGTACTTTAGGCTTTGGTTGGTCACATTTTGACCAAATATTGTCAATACCTTTTTTGTTTGTCCTTTAATCCAACAACACAAGAATGAAACCAGATTCTTTTAAATGCAGAATTGTTTTATTAAAAAAATCCATTGTACAACTTCACAACATGTGAAAATAGAAAAAGCAGTTACAGTAGAAAAACTGTAAGGTTAGGGTTAGAAACACAGTCAAGGTTAATTCACACTGTACCAAATCCTGACACATGTCTGATCATTGTTTCATTGACTGCATGAGCTTTTATTACATTTGTGCTCCTGGACACAAATACTTCTCAGTGGCTTTTAACTTCAGTACAAATTACTTCACTAAATACAAATCGTGACATGTAACAAATACTCAAATAAAACCAGAAACTAAATTGAAAAGATCTAAATGTAAAACGAGATGCTTAAAGCCGATAATGTAGACTTAAATAACATTGTTTTGTCTTCTTCAAATGTTAACACAATTAGTAATTAACCTGTCATTTGTGAACATGATGCACATGCTATATGCTTTCATGTTTATGTCACCATTTGTTTACTTCTAAGTCTTAAGTATGTTGCATTTGTTAAAGCAGTCTGTTCTTAAGCCTTCTATCGTTTCTGGAAAAAAATTGTAGGTACGCTTTAGCTATTGTGCAAATGACAACAGAGCCTTTAAATCTTGACTCTAATAATAACAACTCATATATACACTACGTCCAATAACAGAGAACGACGTGTCACACAGCAACTAGGACAATTCTCTACCCTTAGCTACTGTTCACAACAGCACCATCTTTTATGTAAATCAGTATAAAGTTCTACAGAATTGAAACTGCTCAATTTTACGTTATACTTTGTTTTAAAAAACAGGTTTTGGATTCCTTAAATCTGTCCGGCCAACAATAGCTACGACACTTTTCCCTGTGGCATCAACATAAAGGTAACTTTCCCCGAACAAATGATGGAGAGATATCTTCGACCGACAGATAGTCATGTTGTTGTGATGAAAAACAACAAATACCTCACAAATACCAACATGGTCTCATCAGTTTTTCATCAGTTTCTCTTACAAATGAAACTCAGGATTTCCTCATGATGCCTCCTCTCTCTTCCAAACGATCACCATGTTGTTCCTTAAATCTGTCTGGCCAACAATAGCTATGACACTTTTCCCCATGGCGTCAACATAAGGGTAACTTTCCCCGAACAAATGATGGAGAATGATCTTAAGACAAACAGATAGTCAAGTTTTCGTGATGAGAAACAACCCAAAGAAATACCAACATGGTGTGGTACACATCAGTTTTTCTTACAAATGAAACTCCGCATTTCCTCATGATGCCTCCTCTCTCTTCCAAACGATCACAAATGATGGAGAAGTATCTTCGACAAACAGATAGTCATGTTGTGTGATGAGAAACAACAAATACCAACATGGTGTGGTACAGTCTGATCAGTTTTTCTTACAAATGAAACTCAGCATTTCCTCAAATTCTCCGCTCTCTTCCAAACGATCACCATGTTTTTGTCGCTGAGGGCCACCAGGTACTGGAGTTCAGGATCCATCGCTACGCTGTTGATGGAGGGACCCTCCACCCCCCCGAGGCCCTTCCTCATCGGGGACGGCCAATCCAACACCTGTAATGCAAAAACATGTTTTCATAAGGAGGAAGTTCATTCATTGGCTCCCACGGGATCCATCTTGTTCTTATTTATAGACACATGCATTTTCAAGCATTTGGACTACCTACGTTGTAAATGTATTATCTTTTGAATTTACACACGGCATCTATTGCACGTCTGTCCGTTCTCAGAGAGGGATTCTCCTCTGTTTCTCCTCGAGGTTTTTTCCCCGTTAACTGTGGGGTTTCTTTGGAAGTTTTTTCCTTGCCCGATGTGAGGGTCCAAGGACAGGGTGTCGTATTGTCGTATTCATATTCTGTACAAACTGTAAAGTCCACTGAGACAAATGTAACATTGGGCTATATAAATAAACATTGACTGATAGATTCCACTGTCAGAGCAGACTGGTTCTGGCACTAATGTACATTTCTCAAAGATATTGAACTGACTGTTATTTTGTATATATTGATTGTTGTGTCTTAATGTGTGCATATGTCCACATCTAATGGGAGAAACAGGGTCCCGTGATTCACTAAAGTCAGCCTGAAGCATCCTCTGTGCTCCGGTCAATCCTCTCAGTATGAACTTTAAGTCACTTTTTTAGTAAGGTAGATACATAGAGAAAAATGTGTCACACCTAACATCATATGTGTAACACGTACACTAGTATATTATTTTAACTATGTTTTATTGATCACAGTTGTAGAGTTGGATTCGGAGCAGATGAATACCTGTGTGGGTTGGATGGGTTTCCCGCTCTGGAAGTTGTTCTTCTGCAGGTTGGTGATGTGGTACGTCCACAGCCGGCCTTTATCATCTCCACACACTATGTATCCTCGACCTGCAGAGATAGCGAGAGAGCGAGAGATAGCGAGAGATAGCGAGAGAGAGAGAGAGAGAGAGAGAGAGAGAGAGAGAGAGAGAAGAGAAGAAAGATGTTGACACACACACACGTAAAGCATTATAGTTTTTTACTGTATTTTTAAATGTTACTATCGTTTTCTTTAAATAGTTTTCTATCTGTGTTTTTAATGTTATGTTTGCACCACAACACCAAATCAAATTCCTGTTACGTGTCAACTGGTAACAAAGCTGATGAATGCTATGAAAAGGTACATAATGCCTTATGATGCTCGATGATGATGAAGGGTTAGGGTGAAGATGAGATGAAGAGATGACTCACCTGGACAGGTGTTCAGAGCCAGGTAAGGAACCTCAGTGCTGGTCCACTGCAGCTCCATCAGAACCACAGCACTCACACTCAGGCTCTCTTATCGGGTCGCTGGGCCGTCGTTCTGCTCAAACTCCACAGATAGATACTGCTGTGGAGAAAGTTCTTAGAAGCTGAGGAGGAGGAGGAGGAAGAGGAGGAGGAGGAGGAATGAACAGATATTTATACCATTTTAGTTACTGTACAATTCCATCAAGAACCAGGTTTTAAACGATGCCTATATTGATATTATTACACTACTATATTTATTTTTGCAGTATATTGTAGTGAAATGTGGATATATTTAGTGTAACTTGTTTCAATTGTATTAAATGTTATTGTATTTGAACTCCAATTAGTTCAATTTTATTTTATTTGATCAATGTATTTATTTTTCTACCAGCAAAAACATGTTAAGAATTGGGTTTTTAATATTTAATACATGGTTGGATACACTAATGTCCATTGAGAGCTAGGGCTGTGCAATTAATCGTATTTTAATCGCAATTACGATTTTGGCCTGCCACAATTACGAAAACAACATAATCGAAAAAAACGATTATTTTGCTTTGCTAGGTTGTGACTAATTAATTTTAGTCTAATTTATTTGTATTTATCATATTTATATAGTTTAGTAGCTTGTTGAAGTGCGCTCCAAAATATTTGTTGATCTTGTTTATTATTTTGATATTATTTATTTAAATGTATCATTTATTTTATTTATTTGTGTATTGGTTTTTCAGTTGAATTACACGTTCAGGGTAATCAACAGTTAAAAAGATACTGTTCAAATTATTATTTGTATTTGTTTTAAAGTTCAATAAATGGATGTTTTCAAAGTCAATGAATAATCGTATTTAATAATAGTGATATCAATTATTGACCAAAATAATCGTGATTATGATTTTTGCCATAATCGCACAGCCCTATTGAGAGCCTTATGAAATATGTGCTAACAAAAATGATCTATAGCGCCATCAAGTGGTAGCAATAAAGTAGGTAGTAAAGTATTGATTAGTGAGAACATTTCAAAACATTTAATATATTACTTGGACGTAGAAGTATGACGTGTATCAAATATAGTATTCAAGTCAAAAAAATGTGGTACCAAACAACAAGTAAGTAAAGAGCGTCTCTTACCCACGATGTCGTCCGTGAGGAAGCTGAGTCCGTCCACGGTGTGATAATCGTGATCCTTGTCCTCCTTTTTATAAACAGGGAACGTGATCTCCATCTCTTTTGAGCGACTGAGAAACAACACACCATATATTACATTAAATGATGTTTTATGCATTATCTAATGAAACAAATCATTTATTGTAGCAGAAAAAGTTTGGCGCAAAAAAGGGAAATATTTTACTTTGTACAGTGTTAGTTACTAATTACTTCACAAATGATGATATTAACATAAAAGCAGTTTTGGAAGTTGATGTTCTGAGAGCATATAAAAGAAAAGGATAAACTAGGGCTGCAAAATTAATACAAAATGTATCACGGTTTGGGCTTCACACAATTAAATAACTAAGATTGACTCAAATAAGACGGTGTTTGGTCCATATTCAATATAATTCTGCTAGGGAGGCGTGTGGCGCAGTGGGCTAGTGCGTTGGTGTTGGGATCAGGGGGGCACAGGTTCAAACCCCACTGCAGTCAGCATGTCGTTGTGTCCCTGAAGACACTTCACCCCTAATTGCTCCTGTGGGGATTGCCCACAGTATTGAGTATGTAAGTCGCTTTGGATAAAAGCATGTCACACAGTAACATGTCATGTAATGTGTATTATACTATAAATATCATTTTTTTTACAAATATGGTGCAGCCCTAGTTTTTAAATTAGCAGAAATGTAGAACAACATTAGTACGAGCATTACTCTGTTTATGTAAATGTGAAAATGCAACTAATAAAAGTGTTTTGACGCTAAAATAAAGGAATACCGATTATCATTTTGTTCCTGTTGGTGCGGTTCTACCTATATTGATGCAGCTCTAGCTCTATTTGTGTGGTTCTAGCTCTATTGGTGCGGTTCTAGCTCTATCTGTGTGGTTCTAGCTCTATTGGTGCGGTTCTGGCTCTGTCTGTGTGGTTCTAGCTCTGTATTGCAGGTGTACCTCTTGTTGGAGCTCTTGGTCTCCAGCTGTGTTTTGTAGAAGTAGAGCCCGTCCTCACAGGCCGTCAGCAGCTGGGAGGAGGGGGAGGAGGGGGGGAGGCAGAGGTGAAGGGGGGGGGAGCTGACCTCCAGCACCAGCAGCTGACTGCATGAAAACAAAGTTAAAAAAATGGCGTCAGAATACATTTAAAGAATCCACTTATTGAATATGTACATTTTAAAAAGCCCCAAATATGACATTTATTAACATGTTTGATTAGAACCAATAAACCCCAGCAAAAACTACAAGAAATAAGTCCTCCTCGTCTGTTCAAAATGTCCTCCACATGTGTTCAAAATGTCCTCCTCGTCTGTTCAAAATGTCCTCCTCGTCTGTTCAAAATGTCCTCCTCGTCTGTTCAAAATGTCCTCCTCGTCTGTTCAAAATGTCCTCCTCGTCTGTTCAAAATGTCCTCCTCGTCTGTTCAAAATGTCCTCCTCGTCTGTTCAAAATGTCCTCCACATGTGTTCAAAATGTCCTCCTCGTCTGTTCAAAATGTCCTCCTCGTCTGTTCAAAATGTCCTCCTCGTCTGTTCAAAATGTCCTCCTCGTCTGTTCAAAATGTCCTCCTCGTCTGTTCAAAATGTCCTCCACATGTGTTCAAAATGTCCTCCTCGTCTGTTCAAAATGTCCTCCTCGTCTGTTCAAAATGTCCTCCTCGTCTGTTCAAAATGTCCTCCACATGTGTTCAAAATGTCCTCCTCGTCTGTTCAAAATGTCCTTAGTGCTTAGGAAAGGATTTCTTAAGATTGATTTGTAGACATATGGAGGAAAGGAGTTTAAATACTCACATGACTTTGTAGTTGTACTGGCTGTCGAGCCCCCCGATGTCCCACATCACGATCTTGTTATCGTACGATCCCGCTGCGAGAGGAACAACAAGATGCATTCAAGAACACAAACAAAAAACTGAATTTCTACAATCACAATGTAAAGCAGTGGTTTCCAAATTGAAACAAGTGGAAAACAATTAATATGATGCGTGAATAAAGTGTATATTAAGACATGTTATTAATATAAAAAGTTACTAGTAGATATGAGTGTTAAATTAATGAAGTGTAGGAGTGTAAAAGTGGCAGAAAATGGTCGTACTAAAATAAGTAAAACCAGTTAGAAATGATACTTTTACATTACTTGTTAGACGCTTTTATCCAAAGTAAATTTACTTTTACACAAAGAACGTCCTAATTTTTCCAATATTAAAATGGTTATAAAGTAATGGGTGACTGTTAATTAATTAGTATATTGCAATTTAATGGACCGTCCCTCAAAACACACACAGAGCTTCTTCTTCTGTAGTATTAAAGGTGGTGTACTCACTGAACAGGAAGTTGCCCTGCCTGTGGTTGAAGCACAGCACGGACAGAGACTTCCTGCTGGCTCTGAACTCTCCGAACGCCACGTTGTTTCTGGGATGGATGAGTTTCACCAGACCTCTCTTCCCCCCCGCTGCCAGCACGTTGCAGGGCTGAGCTGAGGAGTGCCCCCCCCACGGGTCATCAGCACCGTGGACCAGGCCAGAGAGAAGAACTCCTGGATATATCAAATAACAACAATCATTATAGTGAAGTCCTGCTGCCTATTTTTTACAGTAGTTACTTTGCAAGTTAGGGTATTCACATTAAAGACTTTTTGGAAAATATATAAACGTATGATGAAAAAAAACTAGGGTTGCACAATTAATTAAATATTTATCACGATTCTGGTTTCCCACAGTTAAATAACTAAGATGGCCGCATCGTTTTGCTTTCAAATTCAGCCTCATTTACTTTAAAATCAACTTGAATTTGGCCCATCATTCAGTAAATTGCAGCAAAAATAAAACTGCAAGTTCAGTTTTATTTATTTATTTTTTTAAATGGAGCAGCTCTACTCAAAGGGGACCTATCATGCAAAATGCACTTTTTGATGTATTTTATACATAAATATGTGGCCCGGTGTGTCGGGGAACTCACGCAGCGTCAGAAAATAAAACCCTCTCTCTTTTCCTCTGTACCCAAATCTCTAAAAACGGGGAACAACGGAGCTGATCCAGATTTGCGTCCGATATGAACGCCTTTGTAACCTCGAGATTGGACTATCGCAACGCTCTGTATGTGGGTATGGACCAGGCCTCAATTAAAACACCTGCAGCTAGTCCAAAACGCAGCTGCACGTCTTCTGACTGGCCACAAAAGCGTGACCACATCACCCCAATTCTGGCCTCACTGCACTGGCTTCCAGTTCGGTTCAGAATTGATTTTAAAATCCTTTTATTTGTTTTTAAAAGCACAAAATGGGCTGGCTCCGGCCTATATAGCTGAACTCCTCCAGCGCTACACCCCAGCCAGAGCTTTAAGGTCTGCTGACCAGCTGTTGCTGATAGTGCCCAAGACCAGGCTCAAAACCCGAGGGAACACTTTCCTTCCCTCGCCTTCTAGTCAGAGCGGAGCATGACACCTGACTATTCCCTGTGTTTTGTTTTTTATATCTCTGTTGTAAATGATTATCTTTTAATGTGATTGCAGTAATGTGTTTTTATTACATGTACAGCACTTTGGCTCGACCAAAAATCGCTTTTAAATGTGCTTATAAATAAAACTTGATTTGATTTGATGACGTAATATCTGAAATGTGGACCCACGGGCCTATCAGAAACGTTGCTATCAGAAACAATGCCCGACTGTTTTGGACGTAATATGGTCTGTGTTTACATTAGCATCGCTAACACTCAGAGCTAACCTGTACTGGAGAGCATGTGTGTGAAGAAGCAGGAAATAAAAAGGAACTCACCTTGTGGTATAACCGGCAAGAGAGAAAGCCTTTGAGCTCCATACTGTTTCAGAAATAATCCTTGATAATCCATGATATGGCGTTTCATCACGGCAGTATTTAGTTTAGACAGTAGCTGCCGGGTCCCGCATGAGCTCAGACCCCTCCTTTTTATTTTTTAAAGCTTTATACCCCAAATCAGCACTTTTGAAACAGGAAGTGAAATAGAGGGATATGAGGCATGGCTAGAATGGGTGATCTGTTTGGTATTTTGAGCAAAACACTTCATAGACATGTTTTTTATATATTTGTATATATCTGAGACCTATGCTATTGCCTAAATAGCATGATAGATGACCTTTAAATCAGCAGAGATTTCATTTATCAAGTTTAATAAGAGAGAAGAACTCCTGGAGGGGGAATAATTCAGTTTCTGCAGACATTAAGGACACACCTCAATACATCAGAGGGTCCTTTGTTCTATAATCAGATGTTCTTAGAGAGCTGCACTAACCTCTCCAGAGACTTTGTATTTCTTCATCACCATCCCGGTCTCACAGTCGATCACACAGAGAGAATCTCCTCCGCACGTCGCCACCAGACGACCTCCAGAGCCTGGACATAAAGACAGAGTGAGTTTATGATGTTTCATTTAATTTAATATGAATATTCTGCAGAAAAATGCAACATTATTAGATAAAAAGTAGCTACAGTTAAGTAGATAATGTAGCATTAAACAGGAATAGCCCATGTGACAGCCCATTTGGAAATGTTTAACCTGTTAAGCCCCGAGCCTTTTTCAGAAGAAAATGACATTCCCAGAACAAATGACCATATCTTCCCTTCTAAAAGGGGTAAATTAATAATCTTTTTTCTCAAAGCAATGATAAACCTGTGAGTTGGATGTAGAAAAGTCAGAATCAATATAGACGTTTTTATTTTAAAGTAAAACATAGTTAAATAAATGTAAATGTCCGTCCAAAAGAAAAACATTACTTATAGTGAAAACCACCCTTGAATGATGGGATAGTAGACTAAAAGCTTTAGGAATCCAAACTATAACATATAATAAGTACCCTGAATCAAGATTGATGCAAAACAAGTGCAATTTGACCTTTTTAGAGAGATTTAGCAACAAACAAACACCTTTGGGGTCATTTGGGTGGAAATGGGTGTATTTCCCGTTTCTCTGGAACCCATTGGTCGATTTTGATGATTGACATCTCTTTTGAACCGTTAGAGCCAATAGAATCGAAGGGAAAGGTCCATATACACACACACGTTACCATTGAGAAGTGAAAGCTATGCGCACGCAGTCGAAAGCTATCTTACGCTCTGAAAACTAGGTTTATTGCTGATGGATTATCAGAAATCATTTCAAAGTGACAGACACATTGGATTAACCTTCAGCAGCGTTTTTATCGTTTTAATGCCATTGAAGACAACTTTTGATCAGAAAACAGCAGAAGGTAAGACATATTGCCATGTTTCCTCCGTAATGCTACGTGTTGTGAAGTCTGAGTTATGATCGTACAGTGATGATACTAATACCTGTAGAATCTGAAAATGGTTGGTATCGTCAGTTAGCTGAGTTTCTTCCCGTTAAGTGGGTATGACACATTCATAGGTTTTTAAATGTTAAGAAGCCCTGAGACACAGTTTCGTGAAAAGAAAACCCGCAGCTTATTATACTTGACCTGTTAAACCCGCAGGTGTACGGGGGCTGCGGGTTTAACAGGTCAAGTATAATCAGCAGTACTTTAGTAAATGCACGTAGTTGCTTTCCCCCTCTGCTACTACCAGTACAAATGTAAAGTGTTATTTAAATCGGCCTTGTTTCTGGAGGATGTACCTGTTTCTGACTGAGGCTCAAAGGCACAGGCCCACAGCTGAGTGGAGAAATCCTCTTGCTGTCCTGCTTACTGTGACACTGGAGAACATGGAGAGGCTTCAGAGACACCGGCTGAGGGAGAGGAGGAGAGGAAGAGGAGGAGGAAGATGGAGAGAGGAGAGAGAGAATGAGAAGATGGACATATTGTTTTAATAACAGATAGGATTTGTCCTCAAGGAGCACCAGAGTTAACAAGTTACGAGAGAATCTTGGCAAAAAAAAGGACATTCAAAACAACCAAAGGTATGGCAGACTGTAGACTGTGTGTGTGTGTGTGTGTATGTGTGTGTGTGTGTGTGTGTGTGTGTGTGTTACCTGTCTCTGTGTGTGTGTGTGTGTGTTACCTATCTCTCTGTGTGTGTGTGTGTGTGTGTGTGTTACCTGTCTCTGTGTGTGTGTGTGTGTGTGTGTCTGTGTGTGTGTGTGTGTGTGTGTGACCTGTGTCTCTGTGTGTGTGTGACCTGTGTCTCTGTGTGTGTGTGTGTGTGTGTGTGACACCTGTGTCTCTGTGTGTGTGTGTGTGACCTGTGTCTCTGTGTGTGTGTGTCTGTGTGTGTGTCTGTCACCGTGTGTGTGTGACCTGTGTCTCTGTGGTGTGTGACCTGTTGTGTGTGTGTGTGTGTGTTACCTGTGTGTTCCTGCAGCTCTAGTGGGTGTGTGTGTTACCTGTGTGTGTGTGTGTGTGTGTGACACCTGTGTCTATGTGTATGTGTGTGACCTGTGTCTCTGTGTGTGTGTGTGTGTGTGACCTGTGTCTCTGTGTGTGTGTGTGTGTCTGTGTCTGTGTGTGTGTGTGACACCTGTGTGTGTGTGACCTGTGTCTCTGTGTGTGACCTGTGTCTCTGTGTGTGTGTGTGTGTGACCTGTGTCTCTGTGTGTGTGTGTGTGTGTGTCTGGTGTGTGTGTGACTGTGTCTCTGTGTGTGTGTGTGTGTGTGTGACCTGTGTCTCTGTGTGTGTGTGTGTCTGTGTCTGGTGTGTGTGTGTGTGTGTGTGACATGTGTGTGTGTGACCTGTGTCTGGTGTGTGACCTGTGTCTCTGTGTGTGTGTGTGTGTGTGACCTGTGTCTCTGTGTGTGTGTGGGTGTCTGTGTGTGGTGTCTGACACCTGTGTGTGTGTGACCTGTGTCTCTGTGTGTGTGTGACCTGTGTCTCCGTGTGTGTGTGTGTGTGTGTGTTACCTGTGTTCCTGCAGCTCTAGGTGTGTGTGTGTGTTACCTGTGTGTGTGTGTGTGTGTGTCACCTGTGTCTCTGTGGTGTGTGTGTGACCTGTGTCTCTGTGTGTGTGTGGTGTGTGACCTGTGTCTCTGTGTGTGTGTGTGTCTGTGTGTGGTGTGTGTGTGACACTGTGTGTGTGTGATGTCTCTCTGTGTGTGACCTGTGTCTCGTGTCTTCTGTGTGTGTGTGGTGTGTGTGGTGTGACACCTGTGTCTCTGTGTGTGTGTGTCTGTGTGTGTGTGTGTGTGACCTGTGTCTCTGTGTGTGTGTGACCTGTGTCTCTGTGTGTGTGTGTGTTACCTGTGTGTTCCTGCAGCTCTAGGTGTGTGTGTGTGTTACCTGTGTGTGTGTGTGTGTGTTACCTGTCTCTCTGTGTGTGTGTGTGTTACCTGTCTCTGTGTGTGTGTGTGTTACCTGTGTCTCTGTGTGTGTGTGTGTTACCTGTGTGTTCCTGCAGCTCTAGGTGTGTGTGTGTTACCTGTGTGTGTGTGTGTGTGTGGTGTGTGTGTGGTGACACCTGTGTCTCTGTGTGTGTGTGTGACCTGTGTCTCTGTGTGTGTGTGTGTGTGTGTGACCTGTCTGTGTGTGTGTGTGTGACCTGTGTCTCTGTGTGTGTGTGACCTGTGTCTCTGTGTGTGTGTGTGTGACCTGTGTCTCTGTGTGTGTGTGTGTGTGTCTGTGGTGTGTCTGTACCTGTGTGTGTGTGACCTGTGTCTCTGTGTGTGTGACCTGTGTCTCTGTGTGTGTGTGTGTGTGTGTGTGTGGTTACCTGTGTGTTCCTGCAGCTCTAGGTGTGTGTGTGTTACCTGTGGTGTGGTGTGTGTGGTGTGTGTGTGTGTGTGTGTGTGTTACCTGTGTTACCTGTGTGTGTGTGTGTGTGTGTGTGTGTGTGTTACCTGTGTGTTTCCGCAGCTCTTAAATGATGACATCACATCTTCTTTCTGCAGCTCCTCTTTTTTCTTCTTCTGTTTAATCACCTCCACTTCCTCCTCTCTGATTGGCTGAACTTTGGCTCCTCTGCGGGGAGTCGTTTGCTCCTCTGACGGGGGTGAGATTTGGGGGAGGCTGGTTCTTCTTTCGGGGGCTCATCCTCACTGAGATGCTACTCTCCGTTAGCATCTGTACTTTACGGTTGGATTTACGAGGACTGCTTTCGGCCGGGGATTCTGGGAGATCTGAGTGTCGTAGTTTCTTCCGAGGCGTCAGACTGATCCTCTCAGAGGGAAGCTGTTTCCTCTTGGTGGGGGTCACTGGGACAACCTGAGGAAAGGAAATACACAAAGTTTAAAACAACTCCACAAATTATTCTTTACAAAACATCTTATGGCGCGGAGCGCGGTTTAAGCGTGCCGTGTCGGGCCCGTTTTTGGTTGCGTTTCCACTAGGCCTAGTTCCGGCCCGGGGCTACTTTTTCACCTCTTTTCTGGCCCGACAAAATCGTGGTTCTATCGGGGCCAACAAACAGGGCTGAGTCGGGCTGAGTTTGCTAAACTAGAGAGAGAATCGCTGCAACAAGACATATTTGACCGTGATTTAATTGTAATACACGTTTCAAAATGATGCCGAAGTAACAACATACTGATACCGGTTAGTAAAAACCATGAATTAATGCTTTGACAAGTCTGCAGACAGACGGCAGGCGAAAAACCTTTTAAAATGCGTGTTTCTAAATGGAGATCGGCTAAGCTAACGCAATATATGCTCCGACTGTCCACACTCACAACAACGGCCTATACAGACATAAATAAACCAGCGACTGTATTCACCATGAAACAGACAGTCTGTGGTTTGCACTTGTTTAACTTGTGTCTAGTTTCTGAACAGATATGAGGAGCTGTGAGCTCTGAGTGCTAACAGCTAACGGCTGTGTTGTTTTTCTGGGGTGCTCATTGAAGATGACGTCACGGCGCCGCCTACACTGCGTTACTATAGTTACTACCCCAGTTCCTAAACTGTAATGGAAGCGCAGCATGAAGTGAGCCGGCCCTAACAAGGCCTAACAAAACCGTACTAAGTCGAGCGAGGCCTGCGGTGGAAATCATCTCTTTTGACAGCAACGTGTTTTAAGAGGGCTGCTGTGCCTCCTGTCATCATTAATGGACGTCTCTTTAAAATGACCGCTCAGAGGAGAGGATTTCTCATTTCTCTAACCGCCTGCTGCTTCCCCTCCTCTCCCCTCCTCGACTCCTATCCTCGTGTCTTAGTCCCGCCCACAGGAGATGCGAGCGGAGGAGTCGAGGAGGGGAATTAGAGAAAGAGAAAGGGCCCGGGAGGATCACTGGAGGGCGTGTTGAACGCTTACTTGAGTCTCTTTGGGTTCAGGAGAATCTTGAATCTCCGGTCTTTCTTTGGTTCAGTCAGAGAGATCAGATACTCCTTCGCCATGATCTCCACCTGAAGACACAACGTTAATAAAAAAAAAGCCCAAAGACAGAACAGAACACACGGTACCATGTCTCCACCCTCCAGATCTTACCCTCCACTTGGTGAAGTCGCTGACGGAGCTGGGTCCGAATCGAACTTGTTGACTGGCTGCGATCACAAAGTCTTTCCTCAGAGCCGACAGTTCTCCGCCGTGACGGGGTCCGGGAGACTAAAGTGCTTCTCCCAAACTGCAATGATCTGGAATAAATCAAGAGCAGAGACGCTTTTAGAGACTTAGAAAGTATAACACTGGTTTACAGACAGAGCCGTCGTTACATCCTATAGGCAAGGCAAGTTTATTTATACAACATCTTTCAACACAAGGCAAATCAAAGGGCTTTACAGAAAATGCATCATTGGGTTTGTTTCAGCATTATCATCTCACTTTCAGCTGCTCTTGTTATTGATGATCTATTATGGCGCAGTTCCACTGCAGCGCGGAGCTCGCTTTAAGCGTGCCGTGTCGTGCCGTCCCCTTTTTTGGTTGTGCTTCCACTAGGCCAATTACCGGGCGGCACGGCGCGGGGCCACTTTTTCACCTCTTTTCTGGCCCTAGAAAATTGTGGTTCTATCGGGGCCAACAAACAGGGCTGAGTCGGGCTGAGTATGCTAAACTAGAGAGGAGCGCTGGCAAGAGGGCTAGAACTACAACAAGATGGACATATTTGACCGTGATTTAATTGTAATACACGTTTCAAAATGATGCCGAAGTAACAACATACTGATACCGGTTAGAAAAACCATGAATTAATGCTTTGTCAAGTCTGCAGACAGACGGCAGGCGAAAAACCTTTTAAAATTCGTTTTTTCTAGATGGAGATTGGCTAAGCTAACGCAGTATATGCCCCGACCGTCCACACTCACAACAACGGCCTATACAGACATAAATAAAGCAGCGACTGTATTCACCATGACACAGGCAGTCTGTGGTTTGTACTTGTTTAACTTTGTCGAGTTTCTGAACATATATAAGGAGCTGTGAGCTCTGAGTGCTAACAGCTAACGGCTGTGTTGTTTTTCTGGATTTCTCATTGAAGATGACGTCACGGCGCCGCCTACACTGCGTTACTATAGTAACTACCCCAGTTCCTAAACTGTAATGGAAGCGCAGCATGAAGTGAGTCGGCCCTGTTAAGGCCCAACGCGGCCAAGCCGTACCGAGCCGTACCGAGTGTGGCCGAGGCCGACCGTGTAGTGGAAATGCGCCATTAGACACTACAGTCTATCACATTGTAATGATTGTATGTATTACTTCATGAATTTGACTTAACAGACTGTACGTGGTTTGTCATGCTTTGCTTTCTGTTATTTTGTTCATGTATGTCTGTAAGATGTTGCTTTTGTCGGGGGTTTATCCTAATAAATACATTTATATATAAAAAGGCATTTAAAAACAGTCATTAAAAAGTGTGTGTGTGTGAGTGACCTGTGTGTGTGTCATGTGGTGTGTGTTACCTGTGTGTTCCTGCAGCTATAGGGTGTGTGTGTGTGTGGTGTGTGTTACCTGTGTGTGTGTGCTAAAGATAATAAAATAAACATTACAAAAAAAACATGAATAAAAGTTACAGTGCCGTGTAAGATATGAATAGATCAATTAAAAGCAGCGGCAAAAATAAGAGGAAGTATTGAGGATAAATATGTTGGACAACAACACGCCATGTTGGATTCACCAACTAACAACCAAAAAACTGGTTGTTAGTGTTTCCTGTTTTGCACACCTCTCCTCTCTCAGGTGTATTTTGAGTGACAGTCTGGGGGTCTCAGGTTGAAAACTGGAGATCATGCCCCACCCCCCCTCCCGGCCTCTCGCTGCGTGCTGATTGGTTCTGTTGGATGACATAATCACTGGGCGCCTGCAGGATCTCTGTACAGACTCGCTGTGATGTCACATCCTGTTTGTGATGTCACTTCCTGTCTCAGCAGCTGCTGGGACCATCATGCAGCACTAGAGCATGCTGGGAGCTGAGGCCGGCAGAGGGGATTGTGGGAAATCAGACCTTTTACTTATCATCACTGACCCCCGTCTGATCGTCATTGTTTGTTTGTTTGTTTATTTATTTATTTAAAGGACAGTGCACATTAATCCACATTGCACTGTTGCATTGTGGGAAACATGTGGGAGTACGCATTAAGAAATGACGACTCACGACAAACGAGTCAGACTGAAGTCATGTGACCGACTGCTCAGGTGTGTGTGTGTGTGTGAGCGCTCACTTCTTGGCCTTGTAGACGTAGGCGCTTCCCGACAATGTAAACGTTGTTTAGCTAAAATAATCAATTCTATATTTTCTGTTTCTCAATGTGAGGCTAAATCAGAAGTTCTTTATTGATCCCAATCACTGCTTCATGATGGCCTTCACAGAAGATCTTCTCTGAACACCTTGAAGGCCCTGACGGTTCACCACTGGTATATACATTTTTATATATTTTTGTATTCTGGATTGTGGGAAACGTGTAAGATATGAATAGATCAATTAAAAAAAATTACGCGACAAACAGAGACACAGTTAGAGACGTTGAGTAGAAAGTATAACAATGGTTTACAGACAGAATACTCTTTCAATCCCATAATAAGAGGAAGTATATGGTACCCGTGTCTGGAGGTTCGCACTGTAGACGAAGCGCAGGTGGTTAGCGGAGGACGTGACGTCTTTCCCGTTATACATCCTGAGTTTGGGAAGCAACACCATCAGCTTGTGGTTATCACTCACCTGGGGAGGAAAGATAACACTCAATCAAACACAAGAAAGGTAAAAGGACTGTACTTATATATCTCTCTATCAGGTCTGTTTGACCCCTCAGCGCTCTTTACATACGAGTCATTCACAGCTCATTAGACAGACAGACAGACACACAGAGACACACACACACACACACACACACAGACAGACAGACACACATACACACACACACAGACAGACAGACACACAGAGACACACACACAGAGACACACACACAGACAGACACACATACAGACAGACACACACACGAACACACACACTATTTGCTACCTCAGAAATCCAAGTAGAAACCAGAAGCTATTTTACTAAAACCCAGTATCTCATGAAAACTTTTCTATAAGAAGACATTCAGGTTCTCATTTATATATTTGAACATGGGCGTCCTTTCAAAATAAAATATGAACTGATTAAAAATGTTGTATATCACTTTTCGGATCACGCCAAAAAAACACACATTTAGAAAACGTGTCTCAAAATAAATCTGGTAGTTTGTTTAAAAAAAAATGTTAAAAACGAATATTTGTCCCTTTTTGGCATTATGGCAACACCAAAAATAACCAAAAGATTAAACAAATTATTCTCAAAACTGGTTGTTAGTGTTTCCTGTTTTGCACACCTCTCCTCTCTCAGGTGTATTTTGAGTGACAGTCTGGGGGTCTCAGGTTGAAAACTGGAGATCATGCCCCACCCCCCTCCCGGCCTCTCGCTGCGTGCTGATTGGTTCTGTTGGATGACATAATCACTGGGCGCCTGCAGGATCTCTGTACAGACTCGCTGTGATGTCACATCCTGTTTGTGATGTCACTTCCTGTCTCAGCAGCTGCTGGGACCATCATGCAGCACTAGAGCATGCTGGGAGCTGAGGCCGGCAGAGGGGATTGTGGGAAATCAGACCTTTTACTTATCATCACTGACCCCCGTCTGATCGTCATTGCACTGTTGCATTGTGGGAAACGTAGGCATGGAGAGTACGCGTTAAGAAATGACGACTCACGACAAACGAGTCAGACTGAAGTCATGTGACCGACTGCTCAGGTGTGTGTGTGTGTGAGCGCTCACTTCTTGGCCTTGTAGACGTAGGCGCAGCGCTTCCCGACAATGTAAACGTTTAGCTAAAATAATCAATTCTATATTTTCTGTTTCTCAATGTAAGGCTAAATCAGAAGTTCTTTATTGATCCCGATCACTGCTTCATGATGGCCTTCACAGAAGATCTTCTCTGAATACCTTGAAGGCCCTGACGGTTCACCACTGGTTTATACATATTTTTGTATTCTGGATTGTGGGAAACGGTATTTCGATCTCTCTGTCTGTACACACAAACTGAAAGATTGACAATAAAGTTGACTTAGACTTGTCTTTTCATGCTGCTGCAACGCAAACATTTCCCAAATTGGGATCAATAAAGTGCTTCTTATCTTATCAAACACAGAGATATCCTCCTGCACTCACGGTGATGTAGAGGTTGTCCTCCAGCTTCAGCTCCTCCAGGCCGCTCAGAGCCTCCAGAGACGTCACGTCCTCCATCTGGTTGTCGCTCAGATCCAGGTGTCTGAGCGCAGGAAGCTCCAGGCGGCGGGGAAACTCCTCCAGTCGGTTCCCAGAGAGATCCCAGCGCTCCAGGGAAGAAAGACGGGAGAGAAGAGGCACCGGGAGATCCTCCAGTTTCAGAGTCAGCTTAGAGAGGCTGGGGAGAAGAAAGTCAGTCAGAAACCAAACTTTGTTTAATTATAATTAACAATAATAATAATACATTTAATTTTATAGCGCTTTTTAACAAGGTCTTTAATAAGTCTTAAAAAGGTCTTAACAAGGTCCTAAAAGGGTACTAAAAAGTTAATAAAATGGTCTTAACATACATTTAATTTTATTGCGCTTTTCCTGGTGCTCAAAGACACTTTACATCAAATCAGAAATAGTACAAAGAAAAAAAAATCAGAAACAGTAGTCCTAATCCAAGTGTGAGTAAAACAGTGATGTTGCGTGAGTGAATAGTGAGTTAATTAGCCCTTATTAAACAAGGACCATGCATCAAACAAGACATTATTCTTTAAGAAAAAGGGGACGATTTTGCATTAAAAAATAGCTTTTTTCTACAGTTCTTGGGCATGTATAACCACAAAGCAATCAGCATACACTAGAAAACTTAACATATCAAATATAAATTCAAATACCAGCACATTTCAACTTTGAAATAACATCCCTTTTGTTTGTTGTAAACATGTTTTGCTCCATGGGAAAGAGAGTTTAGGTCTTCAGTGCAATGACGATTCTGTGTAGCCAAACTAACTTTACAATATGGGTCAAACGTGGGGTTCCTCTACTGTATAAGTAAAAAAAAAACACAAATGTATTGTGTACTTTGTACTTTATTCATGTGTGACAGAAATGTTTGCAAAGCTAAAACAAAGGTAGAGAAATGTACGATTAAATACATTATGTTTTCTATTCTAGTGCATCTTATAGGTAGAGTAACGGTGCAAATGTAACGACATGTCAACAAAACAAACTTACTTCAGGGTCTTGATCTTCTCCAGTTTGGTGGCTTTTGGAGAGCCTTTCTCCAGCAGGAGCTTCTCTGTTATCTTCTCCATGATTATCTGAAGAGTTAAAAACCCTGGAGAGAGAAACAACTGTTGAGAATAGTTTCGGTGTTGAGTCCTCCCGTGGGACTGAGGTCTGTTTCTCCTCTGTTATCACTGATGGTGCGTTCAGGTGCTTTATAAACAGCAGGGGGTACCGACCACACCCTGAGTACTCACACGTGAAAACAAAGGAGTGAACGAGCAGAAACCTAAAGGTCTTTCTCTCATGGGGTCTGAGTGGTGGGCGAGGTACTCAGGTCTTTTATAAAGCTAAATACAAAATATTACTCCATTTGACTAGCTGTATGCTACTAAAGATAAAGGTAAATTATTTTACTCCACTACATTCATGTAAAAGATTTGGGTCATTTCAGAAGAATTTTCCTTCATGAGGTGATTAATTTCGCCGGTTCAAGTCCCCGACCAGACCTAAAATATGGAGTGTGGACTGCTACTTGGAGAGGTCCCAGTTCACCTTGCCCTGCCCCCCTTGAGCAAGGCACCGGACACCCCCCTTCCCCCCTCACTCCCCGGGCGCTGTACAATAGCTGCCCACTGCTCCTAGTGCTAGACTCCTGGTACTAGGATGGGTTAAAAGCAGAGAACACATTTCACTGTGTGTGCTGTGTGCTCTGCATGTGAGACCATTAAAGAGGGTTTCATCCCTCCCTATTCTATTCTTCTATTCTAATTTGTGCATCAGAACTTTTCCTGTAAAATCTTAAGGAAGAGGATTAGGGCCACATGACAAACAATTGTGGGATGGAGATAACAAAAGTTTGGACTCTAATCTCAGCATTCTGACTTCAATCTCAGAAACATATATATAACAAAAGCCTTTTCTGGAAACAAATATATGTGTCTACTCTTAGTCACAGGCCCTGATCCTCTTCTGTGTAAATCTGATAATGACATAACTATTTATAATAATAAATCACGTATGAAGGACATCTTTCTTCACAACCAGTACTGAAGTATAAACTTGATCGCAATACTTCTACTAGAAACAAGAGTATTTTGACATTCATATCTACTTTTCCTAAAGTAAAGGGTCCAAATACTTCTGCTAACACTGCTGTTGTTGTTTATTGTATAAAAAGAGCCTAAGGTTACACCATGGCACAGTTTTGAGGATTAATAGAATCGACAACAACACGCCATGTTGGATTCACTGACTCACATGTATTTGTATTTCTACATTACAACGTAAAAACAGTCAATAAACAACTTCATATTGAGTTAAAGAGCAGATTCAGAACATTAAACGTCCATAGGAACACTTTAAGTTAGTGTCTTTTCCAATATTTGCAGATAAATGTACTTACCGGTGCTTCTTCTGTAACTTTAGTAATGAAATCAGTATCCTGGAAACCGAGCTTTCGCGGGGAAAGTCTACGTACTTCCGGTGGGCGTGGGTTACGGTGTAATAACAAAGGGCTTTTTCACCCTGAGCTTAGCCTGACAGGCACTGTGTAATTCCCACAGGCCATACATTTTACTATCACAGTGGTCAAAGGTGACCAAGTGGATTTATTTAGTAGTGATTTTAAGATACTTGTTCTTTGCTTGACTATTTCAATGTTGTACTACTTATACTTCAATTCAACAAAGATTCAGAGGTTTTTACTACACATTGTAATTACTTTTTAGTGCTAAAAATAATAAAACTCAGAACACCTTCCTTAAAATTGTGCTGAAGTAAACTACTTGAGTAACCCAATAAACAACAACAAAAGTGAATTAATCCACTAAAATGGAAATATGATTCATAGTGTGTTGAATTCATAGCCCAAACGGTTCGGTAGGTGGCGATGTTGACCTTTTCAAGGCAGGTTCTCTACCTACATACTAACAGTAGAAGAAGAAAATGCAAAGGAGTCAGGACAGCCGTAGAAGAAGAACATGCAGGATGACGGCTCTGCTTCATGCGCCTGTAAAGGCATCCGGCGGTGTTTAAAGTGTGAAAATGTGAAGGGAAAAGAACAGCTGGAGACAAATGAACCTAAAGTAAGCATATCTGTGTAAAAACTGTGTTTTTATCAGCAGGAAACAGCTGTATTCTCAGCTAGCTTCACTTTAAAAAGAACTACGGAAGCCCTCAATGGACAGTCCACATTTTATCAAAACACAAGTTCTCGTTAAAATAAATCACTTTTCCTATTATTTTATGTTTTTAAACATCAGTGGTTGTCTAAGGATTAAAATATCTTACTTAAATAATACCACACAGTGTAGAAATATACCAAAATATGACCACTGTAAAATTATATACATATTTTCCGTGAACATACCAAAAGTACTTGTGATGCATAATTGCACCTTTCTAAATAATGCTCATTATATTTTATTGTATAATGAGTGATGTATTTAAGCACTAATGTTGCAGCTGGTAAAGCTTTCTATAATACCAGCTGGCTTGATCAATATAACCACAAGATACGTTATTAGTTATTAATCATAATTAGTATGTATTTTTGGTACTTTTAGATGCTGGGATTTTTACTTTAATAAGACTTTTAATGCGGGTCTTTTACTTGAGTATTTTTCCACGGTGGTACTACTATTTCTACACGAGTACATGGTGTATTAAGCAACCAGTCATGCCAACATGAATTACTCTGTAATCTGAGTTTTTCCATTTTAACTGTATTGTAATATTATATTTTAACCGTACTATGTATTATTTTGTTGACCTGTACTTAAATCATGTTTTATAAAGGGTGTGTGATAGAGATTATGCAATGTTTTTAGTGTTTATTGATTGTTACGTATCTGCCTGAGGACTGCAGATAGAAATGAGCTATTAGCTAAAATCTGGCATAATTCATCTCTTCTCTTTTCTGAGATCTGAGATGCATGGTCCTTGTAGAAATAAATACATAATAATAAACTTATTCTACACTGCTGACTGTTTATTATTGACAGTCTTGCATATATTTGCCACTGTCTGAATAGAATATCAGTAAGGCCATGTCTTACTGTTGTAATGTAAATTGTATTATCTTGTTTCTGTCTCTGAAGGCTGTGCATCAGTTCCTGTACGATCCTGAGACGAGGCTTGCTGTTCCCAGAGATGCCGACTCTTCGTGCTTCTCTTTCCCCGGAGTCTTCCTGCAGGAGGACTTCATCTCCGAGGAGGAAGAAGTGGAACTGATCAGGACGATAGATCGAGACGTTTGGAACGACTCGCAGTCAGGACGCAGGAAACAGGTGAGAGACTTCTGAACGTCATCTACAAACAGTATGAACATGTGTAGTTTGTTTTTGGCTTTAAAGGTCCCCTATTACAGTCTTTATCAACAGTATATCACAGGTCTCAGTTATATACAGAACATGTCTCACCAAACAGATCATTGCAGAATCCCATAATCCCCTCTGGTTGTTGTGTTATTATTATGAATATCTGATGAATTAAACTAAAGTATTTGTTTCTTATCGTTGCAGGATTTTGGTCCCAAAGTTAACTTCAAGAAGCAGAAGGTGCGCCTCAGCAGTTTCTCTGGACTCCCTGCTGTGAGCCGCTCTCTGGTCCTCCGGATGCAGAGCGAGGCGTCGTTAGAGGACTTCAGACCGGTGGAGCAGTGCAACCTGGAATACCTTCCCCAGCGAGGGTCCTCCATCGACCCCCACCTGGACGACAGCTGGCTGTGGGGTGAGCGCCTCGTCACTGTCAACATGTTGTCAGACACTACGCTCACTATGTCCCTGGAGGAGAGGCTTAAAGAGGCGGGGCTTGAAGGCAAGTTTATTTATATAGCACCTTTCAACACAAGGCAATTCAAAGTGCTTTATGTCGTGTCAAATATTCATATAATTCAAATATGTTTATATGTTCATTTTAATTAATTTCTTATTTTACAGGTCACCTATTATGCAAAATCCACTTTATATGTGTCCCCTCTGTGTAAAGAGACTCTGAAAGTTTCAGAAAAAAAGATTCTCTCTCTTTTGTCCTGATCCATTTATATAAAAACCTGTCTGAAAATGAGCTGATCAGATTTTGGCCACTTTATGATGTCATAACGATGTTGTCTTGTGTAACCATTAGCCAATCACCAACCAAGGTAACCCCCCACCTTATCACCTGAATCTCCACCTAGAGCACCACTGTGTTCTTTGTAACCAAATATCTCTCAGAGGGGCGTGGGGAGGGGCTCTTATTTTCATCTAAAGTAACAGACAGAGAATCAGCACTTTTGAAACAGGGCTGAAACAGAGGGGATTATGGGATGCTGCAATGATCTGTTTGGTGTTTCAGCCAATGAGAGACAGGTTCTGGATATTGATGAAAAACAGTATAATAGGGGACCTTTAAACAGAAAAACATCAAGTGGAAGGCAGGTTATCACCTCTTTGTGTTAGGTGTGTGTCCCATTTTTCCCAGAGAGCTTCACCTTTGTCTCTTTCTAGTCTCAGGCTGAAAGTCATGTGTTCCATACTGTGAATGTGACATTATTCTTTTAATCCTAGTAGAGGAAGTCCAGGTCTCCGTGCTTCTTCCTCGGAGGTCGTTGTTGGTGTTGTTCGGAGAGGCGAGACACCGATGGAAACATTCGATCCGACGGGAAGATATTCAGGATCGCAGAGTGTGCAGCACCTTCAGAGAGCTGTCGGAGGACTTCCTGTCGGGGGGGCGGCACGAGGAGATGGGGGCGAAGCTGCTGGACATCTCACTGAGCTTCAGAGGGACGCCTGTATAGAGACGGCTCAAATACTATGTTTGTTCCTGGGACATTTTTATTTTTTTGTATATAATTAATTTGGTTAAAGTGTTTTTATTAATATGGAAAATGTGGGCATTGTACTGAAATATTTAACAAATAAATTGGATTGGAACATTAAGGAAACAAATTATAAAAATACAATAAATAATGTATATAAAACAGAGATTTAAATGGAAAATGTCTGACTTTTTTTCTCAGAAACTCAAGGTTTTTTATATTTTTGTCACATTCCTTTCTCATGTGGCCCTGATCCTCTTCAGTTTTCTTGCACCACTGGATCTCATGTTGATATATTTTGTAGAATAATATAAAAAAAATGTGATTTTGCTCCATTTTCAATGCCAGTTTTCCACATGACCGTACCTCTCCTTCTGCTACCGGCCTCATCAACAAGACCCCCACTAACCCTCAGTCCCATCATAGACTCTATATTACATTAAAGGTGGGGTAGGTAATACACTTCAGAAACACTTTTTGTTATATTCCATGGAATGCTCTTAACATCCCGATAGCAATGAATATATTAAATGCTTTGACCAAAATCTGTGGAAGCCGTGGCGCTGTAAAAAGCACGACCAATCATCTGAGCCCGGCTAAAATAACTGGCTGGCCTACCTGCCTGTCAGCCTTCCATCTGTGCACAAACTTATCTCGTGCCCTCATTGGCGTGTTCGTGTGTGTTGGAGGAGGGGCTCTGTAAGGAAGTCTGAAGGAAGGGGCAGATTGTTTTTGGTTGTGTACTTTCAAATTCTAGCTGGTTTCTCCATTCTTACCTAAGGCCGAATTTACCATAACTGAGGCGTGTGGCGCAGTGGGTTGTGTGTAGGTGTTTGGATCAGGGGGTCACAGGTTCAAACCCCTCTGCAGTCAGCATGTCGTTGTGTCCCTGGGCACACTTCACCCCAAATTGCTCCTGTGGGGATTGTCCACAGTATTGAGTATGTAAGTCGCTTTGGATAAAAGTGTCTAACAAGTAACATGTAATGTATATAAAAAAATAATGTTGTGTCCCCCCCAATGTTGACTCAATGGTTACGGCCTTGTTACCTACCCTACCTTTAATAAGACAATCATAATAATAATACATTTGATTTATATAGCGCTTTTCCTGGTGCTCAAAGGACCTTTATTAATCCCCGTGGGGAAATTAAGCAGCAACAGAGTGAGATTGAAAAACAGGACAGCACAGATTCACACAAGATTAATACAATCAAAGGTACAATTAAAATAATAAACAGGTAAGTAACTGTTAAATGAACATATACATATCTTAACACTGTCAGTCCTGCACAACCCTACGAACACATTGCACGTTGTAACGTGATATTTTTTAATTATTTTTAAATGTTTACAGCGTATATCTATTTTTCATCCATATTTAATGTCAATATTGCAGTATTTTAATCACTTGAATAGTTGCATTTTATGCTCCTTGTCTTATATGCACCATATTTTATACACTAAGAAGGTTTCTCTTTTCTCTAATTCCCCTCCTCGACTCCTATCCCGTCTTAGTCCCGCCCACAGGAGATGCGAGCGGAGGAGTCGAGGAGGGGAACCGAGGAGAGAGGAGGGGAAGCAGCAGGCGTTTAGAGAAATTAGGAACCTTCTAATGCTCCTATATGTAAACCTACTTTGGCAATAAACCTTGTTTGCGACTCTTTTATGTTGAAGGCCTTTGCCGGATATCCGGGTCCGTTGGCTGCTGCTCAACTGTTGTTGATCGAGAGGCGTTATTATAACAACCGGAGTTTTATTATAAGCCGG